AAAAAACATATATTTAATACTTGCGCCGGGTATTTAATGTTCGGCTCCGCCCGAACTTAGACTTTCTTACTTGTTTATTTTGAAATCAAAAAATATTTAGACAGTGCCAAAAGCGTTCAAAGTTTGCCATGTATTTTATATGGGGAAAAAACAACCTTTCGTAGAAATGGTACAGAATTCTTGAAAATCAATATTTTTCAATCGAAAAACTGTTTCTCTTCGAGAGATTCCCAGTAACAACGCCCAATTGTATGTTTTATCAATTTTTCGTAGTAACTATATTTTAAAGGTCCGCCAAAAACCCTCAGCAAATACAATGGGGGATTAATAAAAAATTCTTAGTATTAAAATATGGTTAAATAAATAATTTGGTTATTGGAAGTCTGCTAAAGAGAACCAGAGTTTTCCGATCGAAAAATATTGATTTATTCTATACCATTTCTACGAAAAGTTGTTTTTCCCAATTAAAAAACATAGAAAACTTTGAACGCTTTTGGCACACTCTAAATATTTTTTTACCTCAAAATAAATAATAGGAGTATATTTTTTTCGATATAGAACAATCCTAGGGGGTGAGAGCATTAAAATTCCGCCTTTACTTATTTTGGTGTACCCTAGTAAACACCCTATAAAAAATGCAAGGATCGAATGCAAAGAAACATTTCTTGTTCACATACACATTCCCAACTATCGATCCAATGCAATAAATGAGAGAAGCGCATATTATAGCCATGAACCACGTATCACTGTTGATACGCCTTTGTCAAAAGTTCATGTCCTGATATTGCTTTTGGCATTTACATACGCGCTTGTCGCAATTTGATTGATGGCCTCTTGTGATTTGTGTTGCATAGGTTTCGATTGATATATACTTAGTAAGCATCTAAAAATAACAACAGAATATAAAGAGAAACATGAAAGGAAACTGAAAATCGGAAAAAAACATGACATGAATTTAGTAAAATGTTGTTGATATAGACGCATATATGTACATACATACACACGCATATGTTAGCACAAAAACGTATCAAAGAAATAGAATGGCAATAAGCACGGTTTAGGAAAAAAAATACGGAATTAACGGCTTGAGAAAAAAAACAAACAAAAAACTAAGCATAGAGAACGTAATACAGTATAAACTTATCTATATATGACAATAAAAAGAAGCATATGTATGTATATATATGTATATAGTATTATAGAATGTACATTCATGCGATTGCATGCCATTGAATGCCAACACCTTTAAAGAGTTCTGAAATTTCGGTCGTACCAGCGCAACCGCCCACCGCCACCACCAGTACCATCATCGCCATTCACGATCAGTGTTGCCGCGCCGTCTCAAGAAAATGTATCCCTGACCAAGCCAAAAATGTATCCAAATGTATCCAATTTTCTTTTTTTACATATAAGTACATCTCATAACTTGTAAAAAAACCAAACATTTTCATGAAAAAGACATAATTTAACCCATGCTAAGGGCTTGGAATACATGTGCATAAAATCAAACATTTGTAATTTTAATTTATAAAGTACATTTTTTGTGCATAAGTATTTTGCAAAGTAAATATAATAAATAGCAAGTACACTCTAAAAAGAGCATGTAAAACTACTACTGAAAAGTATCTATTTTTCAACAAGAATCTGTATAAATAGATTTTGAACTTGAGATCTTTAAAATATACACATAAATACACATATGTAGAATGTTTAAAATTGCAAAAATTTTCAAACTACAAATACATTTCCTACTAATAATAAACATTACTTTATTTTAAACATTTTATGTGTAAAAGTAAACAGGCAATGATTAATTTTATTACACGGCTTGCACATTTGCATACATTAAAAGAGGAAACTGGTTATCTCTCTCAATATGCGCAAATAAACAAAATTTTTTAGAGTGTATTTAAAGTCTTTTCAGTAAAATTCATAAAAGTTTCCTTAAATAAATCAAATTTAGTTTTTTAATCTACATTGAAATCTTCTTTCTTTTTAAATTAACAAATGAAAATATGTGATATGAAAGAGATTACTACAGAAAGAGTATAATTTCCTTTACATATATCGTCGTTTAAAGTACAAAACCGCGCATCGTCATTCTGCAAAACCGCGTAACTGACATTTGCTGCCAAAAATTGGATTTGCTCACACAAGCTCTTGGCTTCGTCCTGAAATATACTAGACAGAAATGCGATTGCTTTATAAAAAAGAGAACCATTTTGAAATATAAGTGTTTTTACTCTCTAGAAAATAATTTCTACAACGTCACATACGCGGTTTTGCATTATCTTGATACGCGGTTTTGCATTTTGTTGCGGTTTTGTACTTTAAACGACGATATGTATGTATGTTAAGATCTTGCTTAAAGCATCCTTTTAAGCTAATTAAAGCAATTGCGCTTCTACCTATTTTGGTGAGATCTCTTCATATGTTCATTGCTTCGTTCACAAAAAATAAAATGCTTTAATTTCACGCTTGAGTAGCGATTCTTTATACGTTTAGAAAACGTAATGCTTTCTACCATCTTTAAAGAAAATCGATTTTTGAACGAAAAAAACTTTATAGGAAATATAAAATTTTGGCCTATTTAAAAAAGTATCCACTTTTATACTGACCGGAAAAAATAAGTATCCCGTAAAAATTCGTCTAAAAATGTATCCAATTGGATCTATTTAGATCCAAACGGCATCCCTGTTCACGATGTTAACAGCATGTGTGAGGTCGTGAACGGATAGATAGTCACGCACAGCATGTATTGGTAAGCTTCTTTTGAATTCCCATACAAAATGCCGCGAGCAATGCACAAAGCTAGCTGAGTGGCGCGTAAGCGATGAAGAAGAACGTTAGCGTTGAGATAATAGGACTCGAGTTTGATGGTGAGGAAGCACAGTATCATGCCCAACCTGCTGGCTTGGTGAAAAGCTATCAAATTCAGCGAGACAAACGCTCTGTTCGGAAGTAGTAAAATTGATGTTCGACTGGGATTTGTAGCGGCAATGGAAATAGTGGCGGCGGCATTTCATGAAAATAGCGACGAATTGCAAAATAGAATAGGGAAATGCAAATAAAAGTTGCCAAACGCAACGCAAATGCAAAACGACTCAGAACAAAATGCGAGGAAACAATTTCAAAGCTTGTGTGACAGCGACACAGTTTGCAGAATTTTGGAATTCTATTTCGCTGACATACCTGCTTAGCTAAAGCAATCGAAATTGGAATATTAAAAAAAATTTATTCATGTGTTGTTAAATGCAAATGTTTACATGTAT